ATCATATTGTATTTGGGATGCAGGTGAGAAGATCAGTCAGCATTGTGACTGCAAACATGCAAAGCACCATCAGAAGCTTTACCGGTTCACTGACTAATAACGTGAAGGCACAGGTTTGGTACAAGTTCTAGATGAACATTTAGATGCGAAAGATTGAGAACTGCCACTTGTTAATATCAAGAAGCAGTTAGAGGGGCCAAAAGACATGAAAATAAAAAAGACATACATATTTAATGACATGCTACAGAGTTTACATTATTTATAAGAAGTGAAGATACCCTCTGGCTGAGTTTTAACTTGATCACTTGCAAACAGTTAGTTAAACTTTTACTTCGTTAATGGAGACACAAGCAATACCTACCTGAAAAGAAATACCTACCTGGAGGTAAATGTGTATTTACAGAGTGTTTTGCTTTGGGGAAAACAAATCCTCATCTTAGCTCTAATTGTAACTACTCCCAACTATTTGCATTTTCTGGAGGTTTAGGGAAGGACAGGGTGGATGACCATTGGTGTGTGAGATAGATTTGTTAAATCCACATTATTAATAAGAAAACTTCATCACTATTATAGAAGACTTTGTACATGATTATAGAAGACTTTGTGCATGATCATCTATGTGCAATTTTAAACTATTCTAGAAATAATTACTCCCTAGTTTTTCCCAAAGTTGAGGTGATTATGGAAGACTTGTGAAAGGGCAGGAATTGGTCCACAGGTTAATGCCAGAAAGTTGAGAAAATAACTGTTTTTTCTCTATGCATGAAATACTTTTCATGACCTCCTTCTGGCCAGATTCTCACAGTACAAAATAACAGCTTGAGCGAGGAACTGCATAATCCACAGAAAATCATAATTTTACTTCGGTTATTATACCGATAATTATAAGTGTAAAGATTAGGTTTTAGTCTTTCAGCTATCATATCAGATTTGCAAGACGTGCCAACAAATATTACAAATCTGACCAAATGCAAGGGGTGATAAACAGTGTCCTTATTGGGTCCCTGCCAAAAGATCAGTTTATTCAGCAAAGCACATTTCAGATCCAGCATTGAGGAAAAACTATGTAAAATAATATGGAAAGGAGTTCTTAATAATGAAACTAGCAACATTCGAAGTAGTTTCCACGGCTCTGGTAAGGAAACACTTAAAGAATTGTGATTTTGTTGGCCACAGTAAACCTAGCAAGAAATTCCAGCTAGATTACTCCACAGCTGCTCTGTCACCCCCAAAGGCACTCCTCCAAATGCCAGCACACTCATGCACACACACACACACACCTGCTGTCCTCTCCATCACTGTCCTCAAAAAGTCTTACTTGACTTGACAACTGAAGTAGCAGCAGTGGCCTGGCACAACTGCATGTGAAGGTCAAGTTGGTCACAGCTGTTAACTTGGGGTGTCATTATTGCTTACAGAGAAATAGCCTCAGAAAGTTGAGTTTTGGCAGCAAACTGTAGGTGACTAGAAGCCCCAAGAAATGCAGCTCTCAAAATTTAATTTGGGGCTCTCCCTGGTGGTGCAACAGGTTAAAGCACTGCATTATGAAGCTCTACAGAGTCACTGCAGCACAAGTTCGATCCCCGGCCAGGGAGCTGATGACCCACATGGTGAGGCAGACCTCTCCTGTCTTGCCCACTGCTCCCCTCACCAGTGTACTTCAGTAGATCTGCCTGTTCTGCTCCCCACTCTGTATCTGGTGAATCCTCTCACCCACCACAACTCTGGCCTGTACCATAGTTCTGTAAGCATAAATAAAATCTTTAGAAAAAAAAATTAATTTGAAGAGAGAAGAAAACAATGGTTACTTGGAATACTCAAGTTGTTAGGTTGACTAAGCTTTTTGACTGTGTCTATTGAAATGAAAGATGCTTCTTTTCTTTTCTTTTTTTTTTAAAGATTTATTTTTATTTATGCATACAAGAACTGGGGGACAGGCAAGAGGTATGGGGGGGATTAGAGGATTCATTGGAGGCAGTGGGGTGGGGGGTGGGGGCAGAGTAGGCAGATTGACAGCAATACACTGCTGAAGGGAGCGGTGGGCGATACAGGAGAGGTCTGCTGCACTACGTGGGTCAGCTCCCTGGCTGGGGATCGAACTCCTGCTGCAGTGGCTGTGGAGAGCCGCACAGTGCTGTGCTTTAACCCATTGCACCATCAGGCAGGGCCCTGAAACATGTTTCTTGAAACTCCTAAATATGGTATCTGTCAACACCAACACCAAATCCTTACACTCTCTGGAAGGCTTATCATTTTATACAGTCTTGGACCGGTAGGCATTGAGATGAAGTGATTTTTAGTTATTTGATCAGATATCCATAGCAACCTTTTTCCTCTTTGCAAGAATGTTATGATTGTGGTCATAATTTTATCCTTCATTTCAGTGGTAGATTAACAGAGGAGGAATAAGTCTGAATCATGCTATGGGCTATATGCGTTGGGATCTTCTAAGTAGTTTTTCATAATTTAAATAGAAATTTATATTTAAAATAAAAACTAAATTCTGGCCCTCCCTAGTGGTACAACAGGTAAGGACGCAGCACTGCAAGCTGGCCAAAGCTGCTTTAGTGCGAATTCAATTCCTGGCCCTGGAGGTGACCCACATAGTACAGCAGACTCCTCCTGTCTCACCCACAGCTCCCCTCAGCAATGTACTTCCTCAGTCTGTCTGTTCTGCTCCCCACTTATCTCTGGTGAATTCTCTCACTGACCCTGCACCTCTGGCTTGTACCCCATTTCTGAATGCATAATAAATCTTTTTTTCCCAATAGTTTATTTTCCCGTCATTTTGTGCACTTTTTTCATCTCAGTTGTAATCCCTTGGGGCTTCGCCTTCACTATAGTCCAGTGCATTTCCCTTGCCCCACTGTTTTTGATCTCATTCCCCACTCCACCCCCATAAAATGTCTCCGGAATATAACTGTTCAGTATTTAAATAAGTAAATCTTAAAAAAAAATTGTAAGCGTCCCTTTGGTGGGACATGAAATCAGGTTGGTAGGTATTCAGTCAGAACTTCATTTAAGAAAACAAATAAAATGGAAAAGACAATGCAAGCTGCATTTTATGTGATAGGCGTAAGCATTGTTTGGTGATACTTGTTTTAGTGTTGTGAGCGGTATGTGTACTTGTGCAAAAAGTATTTCTTACTCTAGGTTGTCCTTGAAAGTCACTTGGCAAAGCAGATTTTCTAATGAACAAGGGAAAACAACTAAAAGAACTTTTCTATAATGAGTAATTCTCTTTTATAATCAAAACACAATTACTCAGCTTTCTACATTGCATTAAAGGTATTCAAATCATTTAGAAGCAATTTTCTATTCATTTTCCATGGGCACCATTAGAGAATTAATAGGCTAGTGTTTGTTGACATGATTGTTTTCCATAAGTGGCTCCTCATTCTTGTTCTATTTATCTTACAAAACTGTAAGACAGTCAAGGGCTCTTGATTTTTCATTTACTGTTTCCCAGTGATGACCTATCTCCATGCAAACATGTGACAACTTCCCTGTCTGACAAATTGACCTATAACAAAACAGTATCTCATTGACAAAGTATGTAAAATAATTCCAATTCATCTATATAAGCACCCATCTGCATCCACACAAATCCGTCCGTATTAAAGCCCTTCAAATGTTTAAGAATTCATTTCTCAGAAACCACCGGTATGTGCAGAAGGAAAAGAGTCAACTCAGTTGTATGTTGCATGCTGCATCTCAGCACCAGAGAGGGAAGAGGCAGAGAATCAAGAGAAATCATTTTAGAGGTCAGAATTAACAATGTCTGATGTACACGTGTTGGAGAACAAAGACAGAAAAGTCCGTCCTCGGGACCGTGAGGCATTCACAAGTGAGTCACTTCATGCTGCCACATTTACTCTGGTTAGCTGATCTACTGTGACCACTTAAAGGTAATAGGGAAGCCTTTTTATAGGAAGTACAGTCACCGAAAAGAACAAGGAAGATTCTAAGAGTCCCATGAGTCACAATTTAGTGCACACCATTTAATGAGTACTTCCTTTGGGCCAGACACTATGCTGAAAATGAAATGAGTTTCCAAGCACTTAAAGCACACACGCAAATTACAGTTCTGTATGCACAGGGCTGGGCCTAAGTCACACCAAGACAGGAAGGCAGCTTAGAGGAGAGACACCCTACCCAGACTGGGAGTCAATGGAGACTAACTTACGTTCCTAAGGGGTGATGTTGGAGCTGAGTCTGGGAGAAGTGTGGGGAACTTTCTATAGGGGACTTAGGTTATATAGTACAAAATGTGTTCAGGTAATTCATGAACACATAAATTTGGCAAATCTTGAAACCAATTTGACTTGGTTTCAGCTGAGCGTTCAGGACTCCAAAGGTAGTTTGATGGGGCCGGGCCATAGTGAGACATGGGAAGATGCAGCGAGGCTGAGCAGGAGGGCAAGGGCAGGTGGACATGTCACAGGGGAATTAAAGTGGGAGGAGACGCAGGCTGGCATGCTATCCCAAGGATAGGTAACTTCGCACTCAGATTGACTACACATTCACTCATTCAATAAATTTCAAAATGCCAAGAGAAACTAAAAACCATTTGATTCATAGTTTCAGCTCCTTAAAAGTATAACTATTTTCTAATTATAATAATGAACAGCTGTATACCAGAGACATTTTATGGGGGTGGAGTGGGGAATGGGATCAAAAACAGTGGGAGGAGGGAAATGCACTGGACTATGGTGATGGCACACGGGTGATTCGGTGATGAGAGGATTAAAACTGGATTAAAACTGAGATGGAAAAATGCACAAAATGATGTAAAAATAAACTATTATATTATTATTACGAAAAAATTATAACTATTTTCAAGCCTTCCTGTTTCCTTCCATTTTTATTTCAGTTTCTTCTCTCTATTCCATTCTGGTACTAAAAAAATGTCTGCATTCTGCTTTATCACTTAACATTGACTGGTAAATCATTTCCCATGTAATTATCATTCATGCAATTTTAATGACTGTCGAGGCTACCATAGGCAGCCATTTTCTTTCTGTAAGGTTTGCAGGCCGTTTCCCGAGTGCCCTATGATATGACATTTTCATAAACAGTGTCTGCTTGAGGTAAATTCTTAGGTAATTCTAGTACACAGAGAATGGATATTTCTAGTCTTTTAGTTCCCAGGTGGGAGATGGCTTGTTGTTACTTACTGTTTTGCTCCAGGTAAGGCCGGTGGTGTGGTGTTCCTTGATGTAGGCTTGAAGCTCGCTCCAAATGTTTAGATAGGATTTCACCCAGTCCACGTGGCGTAAGTCACTTTGGTGTGAGAAAGAGTGGAAGAGACTGGAGTTAGGATCTATAATAAAATCTTCAAAAGGGTGGGGGAGATAGACATGATTATTAGGTCATTAAGGCTGTAGCTGACCCTGGAGCAACCTTCCTTGTGGCTTAGTCATTGGGAATCCAGTCAGAAGAGAAGTCTGGGCTGGTGGGAGGTTAGAGGGATGGTGGCAGAGCACTCCGGAGAGAGGCCCAGAGTCCTGACTTCAGGTGTGGAGCCAGGAGGACCACAGAGAGGGGACCCTGCCCACTGGGCCGATTAAGGCCCATGTGCTCTTGACCTCTCTAGAGGGAGATGAACATTCAAGGGAAGAGAATTTCCTTTTGCCCTGCTTCTGATCCCACTTAGAAGAGAATGTATTTTTGGGAAAAAGTATTGCAAGGGGAAAGGTGTTTGGTTTGTTTTCTAATAATTTGGGTGATTCAGTCATTGAAAGTAAAAACACTGGAGAATTTGCTATTGTAAACAATGATTTCCTCCATACCACTAAAGGAGCATTCACTTAAATTACCTTAATTTGATACACATAAGATGATGCAGAACAAACGGGATAGATAGCATTTTACCCCAATTTACTGAACCACGAGCGAGTAAAATGTTTACTTTTATAAATGCTTAATTTTTTTTCTAATGATTTACTTATTTATGCATTACAGAACTGGGGTACAGGTGTGGTGAGAGGATTCACCAGAGACAGAGTGGAGGGGACAGAGACAGCTGCTGAGGGGAGCAGTGGGAGAGTCAGGAGAGGTCTGCTGAACCTTGTGGGTCACCTCAGGGGCAGGGATCGAACTGGACACTGAAGCAGTTGTAACTCCTTGCAGTGCCGCGCTTTAACCCACTGAGTTACAAGGGAGGGCCCAGAAATGCTGAAATTTTAAAAGGCTGAGAGAACTGTTAGAGATATTAAACTTCCAGGAAGACAAAAAGTTGCATTTATTTTCTTTGAACGATTTCTATGCACATATTTTTTTTCCCACTCTGAACGAAATAGTCATAAATGAGACAAGATGAAATTTCAGCTGACAAAATATAATCATGAATCCGGGCCATTAATCTCAAGACAATCATTGAAGAAAATCTCTATTATTAAAGTTTTTGCCAAGAATGACTTTAGTCTGGGCATATTTTGATTTTTCTTCCTTGAACAGCTCCAAGTACCAGCAGCGGGCTTAGAATCATATTGCATTAAGTCCTGTCATTTGGGATAAAATGAAATAGATCACCCAAGTCATAATTCTCCAATCTTCCAAGAGGAAAAATGTGACTGCAGCTTGGTTGTCCATTTTTAGATCGACAGGTTCTTTAATCAAATCTATGAAATAATCTCATTCTCACTTTCTCCCACATTCACAATCAAAACCTTACCCTAGGTTTCTTATTCTATAGGGTCTTAGTCCAGAGCCTTCCTTTGAGGAAGAAGCATATACAACAGCTATGATTAGAACAGAGTACTAAAATTAGTACAAAATAGATGTGCACTTGCATACATGGTCACGTAAGACACACAACACATTTCTGTAGGCATTCCAGTAGGAGCAGGCTGCATGTTCAATATACTTTCTGGTACAAATGTATAAACAATGAAATCAAAATCTCTATAGGAAATTCATTTTTCTTTTATTATAGTCTAATTTTGACTTGAAGAAAGTTCTAGCAAAACTTTTACTTGAAGTCAGTCTCTACGAGATCACAGATGTCAGGGGACTGCCCCCAGGAGCTGTGACCTCGCCCTGTTTTCATTTGGCCTAGAAGAAACTCTGCTAGAGGCATGCACGCTTTGAT